ACGAAAGAGTCAAAAGTTATTGAGAGTTAAAGTTACATTTCCATACATTATAATGACATTACTGCACTTTGACACTTGCAAATGTCAAAATATTACTTCAAAGTGCCAAAATGATCTTCAAATAATGAGTCAAATCTATCACCGAATTTTAAATGTAATATATTTAAACGAGCAATTCTTGTATATATATACTCAATCTCGGAAACGGCTCCAATGATTTTCATGAAATTTAGCACACAGGGTGTTTCGGGGGCGGTAAATCGATCTAGATTAGTCTTATGTCTGAGAAAACGCGTGTTTTCGAGTTTTCATGCAGTTTTCTTTTGTATTATTCCACGCAAAATATAGTCGGTAACTTGCACCCTCGGGTATAAGCATCGTGTTCAAGCGGCCAAGGTGCAAGATTAACAATCACAGGTGTCCAGGTTCGAATCTCGGTCGCATACAAAGTTTTTACTTTTATTTCTTTTTAATTTTTATTCAAGTTTTTAGTTTAAAAAAAAAGACGCAAGATTGACAATCATAGGTGTCCGGGTTCGAATCCCGGTCGGATACAAAGGTATAATTTATTTTTGTATTTATTCAAGTTTTTAGTTTTTTTTAAACGGGGCCGCCACCGTTTGATGGCGGACGCGGTAGGGCTGCAGGGGAAGAGGAGTGTCGGTGTTCGTTGCCACTCTCCCTGTCCTCTGCAGCCGGATGAATGTGGCCCACTTCCGTGGGCGGTGAGGTTTTAATGGGGCTGCTCCGGGTACTTCTCTGCTGTAGTAGAGTGGACTGTGGAGCAGCCCCATTGGTTTGGTGGTCTGCCTAATGTTTAGGCAGACCTGCCGCTGGGGCGCCGTAGTAGTTATGCACAAGCGATCCTGCGGCGTCCCATTAAGGCGGAGGGGAGGGGAATGTCGGTTTTTAGTGGGTAGTACCGGCTCTTCTAGCCGGTGAGCCTCACATCACCACCTGGGGGATCAGGTCGTATGCGTAAATGCAAAAAAAAAGAAGGAGCTACGCTACGCTTCGCTCCCGCCTTAGCGTTCTCAACTTAAATTATCCAAATCAGACTGTCACTTAATCTAAAATAAATAATACACTTAGATTAAAAAATAGTCTACTTACGTTTATAAACTGCATCAGTACACTTAAAACACTAAGAACACTTAAAACTATAGTAATACTATTAAAGCAAAAGACTAGAAACGAACGTATACGAAAATTAACAAAAACTAATAACTACTGGAAAATAATATGAGAAAAATAACTATGAAAAAGAGCAAAAAATATAAAAACTTGAACGCGTTTAATGAGTACAGATGGTATTCACATACACTATTGATTATTGAACTTCGCGGTATTTTGTGACTACCCTCCAAAAATCTTGAAAAGTATTTACAGATAATAAAATCAAAAAAAAATGTTTAATGTAAATAAAGTATATATGACTCAATATTTTACATAAATCAAATAAAAATTCGTAAATATATGTATGAATTGATAATAACATCTTTCTATTTTAATATAGAATCTTAGTAATCTGACGACAATTTTCACTTTTAATATGCATAACTCTTAACTAATTATTAGCGATAATCTGTTCTGTCATTTATCAAAATTTAAGATTATTTTGTTTAGGTTATTGTTTTTAGTGAAGTTATCAAAATATTAATACAATAAAGCCTTATTTGTTATGAAAATGTGAATTTTACACGAAAAAGGATATTTATTATTCGTTACCGGTATGTTTATCTTTTGTAATGACTTATTTAGGTATAGAAATGTATGGAAATGTTCTAACTTTAAGTCTCAATAACTTTTGAGTCCTTCGTTTCCTGAAAATATTTTTTATATATTTGAACTCCCTATCACCTCCTCTATCCAAAAACACTCACTTATCCAGGGGCCGCGTCCCATATACTAAACTTGTGCCCATAATTGATATATTGTAAATGATAATTATATTTAAGAAGAGCAACTGTGAAGTTTCTCACCGGCTCTTCTCAGTAGAATTGCCTTCCGAGCCGGTGGTAGATTCCTCATGGACTGACTACACTGACATTTCATTTAAGTTTAAAATATAAAATTGACGATTCAAAATTGCTTGTATAAGTCTATTTGAATGAAGTATAATTTAATTTGATATGATTTATATCTTCTGTTTACATAGTCCAGTTTGGTTTCACATACTCTCCGAGACACGGGAAGGTAATGCACAGTAACTTTCCAACTCTATCAGATTAACATATTGAAATTTAATAACTATTCTTGAACCGATCCGGCATTCGTATCAAAGACCATAGGATTTGCCGCCGTATGTACTCCTAGGAGCCACTAGATCCATAGGGCAGTTCGATAATATTTCATATATCAAATATTTCGTTACCCGAAAATTGTAGTATCGATATTAATGAAATTTAAGATAGTTAATACTGAATAATTCAGCAGGCATTTAGGTAATAATGTACTTGGAAAACGAAATATTTTACAATAAGTTTTTAAATAAAATTTATTTTGTTGGTATAAAATAAGTTATAAATATATTATGGGCTTCTGATTGATTTCGGTTACGGCGGCCGACTTCACTGAGGCTAAGCGTAGGACATACTATAGTGCAGTACGTGCAGCGGTGTGTGCGCAGACATAACGTGAGCTCTCTCTCTGTGTGTGAGTGATTTTTAAACTCTCGAAACGGGGGTTCCCAATTCCGGACTGCTATTTGGTATTCCTTATAGGAAAAATCATGCACTATTTTAGCCCGGATATTTTGGAATCGAACCCAGGACCTCATGATTTGTAATTATGTTTAACTAAATAAACGAGACCATTTATTGTTATATAAGCATTACAAATATACAACACAATAGGTACTACTTGTATTACCCGATTTTATTTCTTAAACCAGCCCGCGACGTTTCACACGGAGTTTAAAAATACAGGAATTTCATACACCCTATCTAATCCCTATGAATAATCTACCTGCAAAATTTCAAATTTGTTTCTTTTTTAACATTTCTACTTTCAGTATATCGTGATTCATTCATTGAAATTAAGTTAAATTTATTAACGGTTTTATTTTCATGTTTAAAAGCCATTATTAGCTGTGGTAACACCCGCGTTGACGACGCTTGAAACACTTTAGTTTTATTTGTCTTTGCTTATTCATTAGTTTTTTGTTGACGTTATAATATGCTTTGAAAAAAAAACGTTCGCGCGGGTGCCAGTTAAAGGTAAATCCAATCTAATATATAAATATCTCGTGTCACAGTTGTTGTGGTCGCACTCCTCCGAAACAGCTCGACAGGTTTTTATGATTATTTTTTTATATATTTGGTAGGCATAAATTATGTCTTCAAGTATTTTTCACTCTCCTACCCCTACCCCCCTTTTTTTGTTCGTGAACAATATCCGAATAATTTAATATTATATAAATACATAGGGACGGACCCGAGCTAAGCGAGGGTGAGTCGCTATATAACATAAAGAAAGAGAGTTTTGTAAATTGAACGCGGGCGAAGCCGCGGGTTCTACTAGTAATTATATGAAATTCTAACCATTTCATTATATATTGGCGATAATAATCATACACCTACTGAAGCGCTACGTCAGTTACGGCTTAAAGGTGCATCAAACACAGACAACTAGACAGATTTCCATGAAACTTAAAAAAATAAGCTGAATACTTTATAGCTATAATGGAAATACAATCAAAAATATAGTGTGACCTTACCGTTCTAGGCATTTCATAAAAACCAGGGTATGGTGTAGGTATATGCAACGCTTACACGCAGCGCTGGGGCAGCTATAGACAGTACGTAGTATAGAATTAATAGTAGAAGCAAATACGTGATCATAGAAAATTATATTAATGAGTTCGTGCAAGTAATAAACCAGTTAGCCTCAAATATACGTTTGAAAGACTTGTATATTAAAATACTTACTATACTTAGGTTTGACCGACTTCAGAGAGAGGCAGATATCTATATCATATTTAAAACGGCAAGTTTGTTGTGTATTTTTTTCCCCAAATTTATATAACAAAATAAACAAAGTTCTTAATATATATCCCCGAACCTTACATGTATGCAAAAATATAATTACAGCTTGGTTGTTAGACTTGACATATGAGGAAACCGAGAACTTACTAAAATAGGTACATTTTATATGGCTGACACACACACACCACACACACACACCACACACACTCACCACACACACTCATACACACACACACACACACACGGACATACCGTCAATCTACTTATACTATACATCATTTCATAACTAATATCTTAAATTAATTTAACTTTTAAATCTTATATTGGAACATAATGTATATTTTTTTTTAATCTGGAGGTGGGCGTTAATGACTACGACACAGTTTTAACTAATGTAGTCATTATCGAACTTATTTTTATAAATTGTAATCTTTAAAACGTGTCCAATAAAGATTTTTATTATTATTATTATTATTATTATTTGTTACGTGATATTTTCGGCAGTTCTATTATATACATATAGTGCATATTTTTCGGTTCTTTTGAAATCGTTATAATTTTAATGGTAAAAACAATAATATATTCAAATAATTTTCTGTACAGAATAGAAAATAGCATCAATACCTCACTTCGTTTCCCGCTTATCTCGGATATCAGAACCCGGCCCGACAATCGTCGTCCTCAACGTCATGACCAGATCGGCACAAATAATATATACATGTATCGTAAAATTTAACTCTTATTATTAGATAATATTTAGTACTAAAAGTGTAAAAGTTTGTAAAAAATGTTTGTAAGTTTGTGGCTCTATCTGAACGGAGTTAGATGAAGCTTGGATAAAAAATATTCTAAGATTTAAAAATATTATAGGTTCATACTGTATATAGGTTATATACTCTAATAAAAAGACTACAATTAATACGTTATTTATTTATAGAACCAATATTTTTAGTATATGTTAAAAAAAATATTTTTTTAAATTTTAGTTCAATAAAGTAGATGTGTGAAGCAACAATGTTCTTCGGCTCTGAATATGTCCCACAGAGGCAGAATGCTGTAAGCGCTGCGGTCTCCTTCTTGCTTGTTGCATGTTTCATTGCACTCGTGACAGCAGAAGGTAGGACCACAGTCTACTAATCCATACAGTCGTGTACAGGAGTCTGGACAACGTGCGAGGCATGTGAAGGGAGACGTGAGCTAAGTGCTCCTGAGTCCCGACTGTCTTACGTGATTTCCGTTAATATTAAAGGCGACCGATCGCCTACTGCGTGTGTTTTATACTGTGCCATTTTATACATATAATAAAATTCTCAGTCAAATCTGTACATTAAATATTTTTTCGAAAATCTTATTGAAATAGTCATTAGTCGATACAGAGGGCGAATCTATCGTTTTCAGAATTTTTGTCTCTCTGTCTGTTTGTGACCGCATCACGAGAAAACCACTGGACAGATTTTGATAAAATTTGGTATGATGATAGCTGGTTATTCGGGTCAATATATAGATTTTTTTACTGGGGGAAAATGTCATCTCTGAGAAATCTATATATCAAAGGCTGTGCCTTAAAACGTAACTTGGGGAACCCGAGTGGAGCGATGGTGAGTCGGTAGTTATACTATATTATTATAAAAATATATGCAATATTTTTTTATTTAGTTGATACACATATTATTCCTTTATTATATATTTAATGAAATTATTATATGTAGATCGCTCAGTTGGTTTTTAAAGAATAGATCCACGATGTCTAACTTAGCCTCATTTGTTAAGGGTATATCTGAAGTGCTAGATAATAACGGGCAAGTAGACTGTATCTATACAGATTTAGCCAAGGCTTTTGACGTAGTTGAACACAATATTCTACTACATAAGTTAAGGAATTATGGTATTTATGGGAAATTTATTGATTGGATTGCATCATATTTGCATAGTCGAGAAAATAATGTTGTAATTAGTAGAAACCAATCTGATACTTTTATTGCTACGTCTGGTGTACTACAAGAGTCACACCTTGGTCCTGTATAATTCGAGTTTTTTTATAAAATATGTAATAACTTGTTTTGATTACTGTAGAATATTTTTATATACGGATAATTTAAAATGTTTAAAAAATATCAACAATAGACTAAAAATATTGTATGTGTAAAAATGTAATAACATAACATTTAGTTGAAAAATTCAAAATATAAAATAAAGTTACAATATAAATGGTAATAATTTAATATACATCAATGAAATAAACGATTATAGTAATTTTGATGGATTCAAAGCTAAGTTTTATCTCCCATTTAGAAGATATTATTAAAAAGTTTCTTAAAATATTGGAACTTATTTTAAAAAACACAAAAGATTTAAAAAAATCATTAGCAAAAATGGCGCTTTTGAATTCACACGTCAGAAGCTAGCTAGAATATTGTTCAATTGTATGGAACCCATAATACCAAATTCACAAAAATAGACAAGACTGTTTCGGATAATCTCTGAAACGGCTGGACTGATTTTGACGGGAGGTTCACTGGAAGATAGCTAATGTTATAGGGAGTAACATAGGCTACTTTTATTTTAGAAAAAAATTATGGTTCCGCTCAAAAAAATGAATATGTACTTTGGGACGAAACCGAGCGAAGCGAGGGTGAGTCGCTAGTATTTTATAATTTTAGTTGTAGTATTATAATTTTTTGTTGTTTTTTAGGCAATAACTTTTTATACCATTTAATTTTTAACTTTTTTATGTACCTATAACTATTTTTTATGCATGGTTATTTAATAACCAACTACCTACAACCTAAAAAACAAAAAATTATGCTTTCTACTGTTTTTAACTTTACTTTTTTGACATTTATTCAGTACTAGCAGTACTCGCAGCTTCGATCGTGCTAAAACTACAAAAAAAAACTCTAAAAAGGGTCGGTTTTATACAAACTTTCATCCTACACTTTACCTCCTTATGGGATTAATTTAGAAAATGCATATACACGTATTTATTTAATTGTATTGAAGAGCACTACTAAGTTTCAAGTGATTGTGATCATAAATATTTTTTTGGGTTATATTGTAATGGTTTTCCTGTGGGAATGACAGATGACCGCGGTAAAAAGTAGCCTATGTCACTCTCCAGCCCTCCAACTATCTCCACACAAAAAATCACGCCATCCATCAATCCGTTTCGACGTGAAAGAAGGACAAACAAACAAACAAACAAACAAACAAACAAACAAACAAACAAACAAACAAACAAACAAACAAACAAACAAACAAACAAACAAACAAACAAACAAACAAACAAACAAACAAACAAACAAACAAACAAATAAACAAACACACGCACTTTCCCATTTATAATATTAAGTATGGATTTTATTTTTCATATGATAGATAGGTAGTTTTTTTTATTTATTACGTAGTTTCGAAACAACGTTTATACTGCATATTGAGTTAGCCTATAAGTGAGGTGTATAGTGTAAAAAATATTCCATGCGGAATTATGTATGAAACATAAAACGCACTGTATACTAAGTAGGCTTCCTATATGAATAAATTAATAAATATTTATATCTTATGTTACACCACGCTATTAGATAATGTGGTGTGCCTAAAGCCACACCCGAAAAAGACGTATTAACTTTTCTTTCTCATCTCAAAGTTTTTGTTTTCAATGAATCTTAGACGAGAATTCAAAATGCCACGTTTTTGTCTCTATAAGTACCTATTGTGTTCAAACTGTTGTTCTCATGACATAATTACACCTGTAGGAAGTAACGATCCTTTGAATAAGTAGCCGCGACCAAAACATACAAAAACCGAAATCTTATTTTGTATAAGTTTTTAAGAAAAACATTATAAAATTTATTACTATATTATTTTTTTTAATACCTGGCTAATTGTAATTAGCAAGTTTTATTTTAATGTTATGATAATTATGAATAAAAAATTTTCCGCAGAATTTCAAGAATATGACTTTGTAATAGTCGGCGGAGGGAGCGCAGGTAGCGTGATCGCGGACCGGCTGTCCGAGTGTCCGTCCTTCGATGTAGTGGTGATCGAGGCTGGCGACGAACCGGGTATAGAGTCCATTGTGAGTAGAACCTAAGGCATACATATACTTATATCTAAAAGAAATCAATCAGTCAGCCTATCGCCGTCCATTTCTGAACAAAGGCCTCCCCCAATGAGCGCCAACCATTCCGGTCCTAGGCAGTCCGCATCCATCCACTGTCAGCCACGTTTCTTAGGTCATCTGTCCATCATGCTGCAGTGCGTCCTACATACGCTGGCCTAAACGCGGTGTCCACTCTAGCACGTTTCGACTCCATCGGCCATCAGTACGTCTGGAGACATGACCGGCCCTCTTCCACTTCAGCGAGCTTATTCTGCGCGCGATATCGGTTACTTTAGTTCTCTGGCGATTGACTTCATTCCGAATTCTGTCTGCCAGAGAAACTCCAAGCATCGCGCGTTCCATTGCTCACTGAGCGACCTTGAACATATGGACCAGCCCTACGGTGAGTGTCCACGTTTTGGCTCTGTATGTCATTACGGGTAGGACGCACTGGTTAAATACCCTGGTCTTAAGGGATTGTAGGATAGATGAATCTTGACAAGACCAAAATCATGTCAAATTGTCATATATCCCCAAGACCAGTGATCGTGAATGGCGCTGTTCTTGAAGTTGTGCAGGAATTCTTATATCTTGACCAAACTATACAACACGGCCGGCACAACTTTGAGGAGGAGGCCAACAGAAGAATACGCTTGGGCTGGGCAGCTTTTGGGAAGCTTCGTCATATTCTAGAGTCATCTATGCCACAATCTAAAAGAATAACAACATATTATATAAGTTTTAAGCATTTTTATCAAAATATCCATACTAATAGTATTATAAATGTGAAAATGTGTTTGTTTGTTTGTTTGTTTGTTTGTTTGTCTGTCCTTCTTTCACGTGAAAACGGAATGGTGGATTGAGGTGATTTTTAGCATAAAGATAGTTGTTGGGCTGGAGAGTGACATAGGCTACTTTTTACCGCGGGAGGTCATCTACTTCCTACTGGAAAACACCTTATAATACAACCGAAAAAAAATATTTATGATCAGAATTATTTGAAATTGATTTTAATGGTGTTCAATACAATTAAATAAATGCATTTTTCGAAATTCATCTCATAAAGGGGTAAAATAGGGAATGAAAGTTTGTATGAAGGCTACCTTTTTAGTTTTTTTGTAGTTTTAGCGCGAGCGAAGCCGCGGGTTCTCATAACATTATTGTAAATATATAATAATAGAATAATAACAAAAGAAATTCGTCTTATGGATTAGAATTTATCTATCACTAAAGTAATTCATTCATATATAAAACTATAATTATTTTGTAAATTAAAACTCGTTAATTTAATGGGTAAAACACTTCCTTTGAACTTCAGTTTAATTAATTTAATTACCAACAAAATAGTATTACTATAACACAATCACTGTCTTGATGGTTGTGGGGGAGGGCGGACTAGTGAGCTCGGCCGCTGAGCTTAGAGCCTACTTGGCGGAACGGAGAGAGAAATCACAAAAATCACAATATTTGACATTTTAAATAAAACTACACTGACAAAACTGTTGTTTTTTTTTTAAATATTGTAAAAAAAAAGAATAAGCAAAATAGGTGCAGTCGTTCTGAAATATTTCGCTTACATACATTTGATAATTGATTTTTATTTATATGGACCGCTAAAATTAAATAAATAATATTGCTATATTTAATTATAATACTTATTAAAAAAATTAAAATATGTAGAATTAAAATCAACAAATATTGTAAGGTCCTTTGGTGCTATTTTTAAAATTTTGAAATCATTTTATAAAATTGTGCGTAGGCACTGTCTGTAACATGTATATAACACCTCTGAGTTGTCTAAAACTTTAGTCTCTCCCGTGACCATGATTGCTGTAAAGCATTTCAAACGTCGGGAACCAAAAATCAAAATAAATTCGCAAAATAATTCGAAAAGATAGTTTTAATTAAAATAATTATACAAACCTAATGGAATGTAAGTATGTGAGTATGTGTGAGTACATATGTGATAATATTACATGTGATAGGTTACACCGACAGTGACCGTGCCCGGGCGGCCATTGTCAGTGTACCCGCCGCGGTAATTATATTTTTCAAATCTTATAGCTGCATTAATAATAACTAAATTATTTTTTAGCTTCCCGGCCTTTTTCCTACATTGCCGCACACGAGGTATGACTGGAATTTTACATCAGTAAACGACAATCGCACAGCTCAAGATCACACGATAAAAGCTTTAAATCTAACATCTGGACATGTTCTGGGCGGAGGAAGCAGCGTTAACTACATGATATATGCACGTGGCTGTCCAAAGGATTATGACTCTTGGGCGAAAGTTGGAGATGATGCCTCCTGGAATTACACAAATATTTTTAAATATTTCTTAAAAAGTGAGAACCTTAAAGATCCAAGCGTCCTTAATTCCGAATACAGAAAGTATCATGGAACGACTGGCTTTCTAGGAATTACAAGAGAAGACAAAAATGTGACGAAACAGTATTTAAAAGCTTTTGAAGAAGTTGGTCATAAGATACTCTTTGATGTTAACGGAGAGGAAAAATTAGGGTATACTCTACCACTTTTTACAATCGCCGATGGCATAAGGCAAAGAACTGTAATCAAAAATTTACAAGTAAATAAACATCGTCCAAATCTCCATGTTTTGAAACTGACGCTAGTTACAGAAATATTATTGGAAAGAAATATAGCAATTGGTGTTAAGGCAGTGACGGAGACCAATGAGATAATTATTGTCAAAGCAAGAAAAGAAATCATTATATCAGCGGGGGCAATTAGTAGTCCAAAATTGCTAATGCTTTCGGGAATAGGTCCGCGAAAACACTTGAAATCTTTGAATATTTCAGTAAAAAGCGATCTACCTGTGGGGTACAATTTCCAAGACCATACGATGGTTATATCAGCATATAAAATGGAAGGGACAAATATATCGTCACAATCACCAAATCTGCATAAATTTCCTTTGCCGGTTATTGTTGGTTACGCAGCTCTCAACAAGTCTGAGTATTGTCCAACGTACCAAGTATTTAACTTGATTGAATCAAAAGGTTCTTCTTCTTCGAGTGAACTTTGCAATTTTAATTTTGGTATTAAAGAATCTATATGTAATAAATTCCTTACTGCTGCTCAAGATCGAAACTTGTTATTTGCAATTTTAAACATCTTGCACCCCAGATCGCGTGGTAGAGTCCTGCTCAAAAGTGTAAACCCAAGAGATCCACCACTTGTAATTACCAATATATTTGCCGACAAACGAGACTTAGAAGATTTAACGGACTATATGATTGACTATATAAAAGTGTTAAACTCAACATATTTTAAGAGTGTGCTGGCGGAATTAGTGGATGTTGAGCTGGAGAAGTGTCCGAAGTTCAATATTAGTGACAGAGCATATTGGAAATGTTACGTGCAAAGCATGATGTCTAGCATGTACCACTACGCGGGCACGTGCGCGCTGGGCGAGGTGGTGGACAGCAAGCTGCGCGTCCACAACATCGAGCGCTTGCGGGTGGCCGACGCCAGCATCATGCCCAGCCTCACTAGTGGAAACACAAACGCACCAGTTATCATGATAGCTGAAAAGCTGGCTGATATTGTTAAAGAAGCGCATTCTTGTAAACCTAGTAGGTTAAAATTTACATCGGAATTACAAACCCAACGGTTGGTAAATAATGAATAATGCTTAGAATAGATGTTTACATAATTATTAAATCGTACGGCCCATTACTTATACATATAATAAAACTAACTTAGCGAAATTTGTACATAAAATATTTTTTTAAACAATGGCTGTAACTTACTGTGCAATAGCATAAGTGTTTATCCTAAGGTAAATTCGCAATAACTATATTATATCTATTTAAAAAGTACCTAGAGACGCACACGAGCAAAGCGAGGGTATTTCGCTAGTATTTATATAAAAGTATCATTTGTTTGTTATTTATAATTTATTTACGATTGATTGTTATAAATCTTTCCATGAATCGTTGTGTATTATTTTTATTACAATATATTATGCAAAAAAAATATTTAAGAGAATAAAAAGCAACTTTCAGGTACTAAAATGTAAAAAATAACTAAACGGGGCTTTCATTTAGAATATATACCTAATCAGATATTTTCGAAGTCGGTGCCAGCCGATGCGAAGCAAATCTAATATATTTCGTTACGTAAAATACCTAATATTTACCTATTAGATATTCATATCTTAAAATATTGTGTGCTGTGTGTGCTGGCTCCGTAGTTATTTTTTAAAATTTTAGTACCTGGAAGTCGGTTTTTATTTTTTGTTAAAAAGTTTTTATACAAAGTACTAAATGCCAACAAACATCATTATTTTGTTTCAAAATATTGTACACAGCGCATGTGCGTGTGTAGGAGTACTAGGTATTGCCTAACATAATGAATAACATTGTGTAAATGTTCAAACGTATTCGATTCACATCTTCATTTACCCTCCTTCCGTAATCATATCGTAAGATAGTCAATAAGCGATCATACAAGCTATAATAAAATTAAAAATATAGTCGTATATTTTACTTAAAATTGTCTTTTATCGGTGACACTTTTAGAGGGTATAAGTTACGAGATAACCGTGAGAGCGTACATTATAGTGGAATTATATTTCACACCAGCGCAAAGAAATATCGGGAAGCTCTAAGAGATACAAAGATTATAATAAGTGCATGTATCGTTTATATTAAAGAAGTGACTTCCACTTGGTTCGCTCGAGTGCGTCCCTAGGTGCCTTTTGTATTTTTAATATTTGATACAGGTAACACAATCTTTTAAAATTACAAACTATAGCTTATGTGTTACTTCAGGTCATAACCTATTTATGTACTTAATTTCACCCTAACCCGCTCAGCAGTTTCAGCGTAAAAGAGTACACAAAAAAGCGTCCACACAACCTCACGAACACGTACAAGCACACACACATACACAAACATATGATTTTCTACTTACTGATTTCGGCCACCGTGGCTAAACTTACTGAGACTAGCCATCAGCACTAGCGCTCTCATAGAGCAGATCGTCTTCCCATCTTTTAATTTGCCTCCCTCTACGTCTTTTCCGATTCCTTGGGTACCATTCTTTTTGTAAGTAAAGTTTGTAAGTTTGTGAGTTTGCTTGTAGGAAGTAACCTCTGGAACTACTGAACCGATTTAGATGAAAGTAAACATTAGAGGTGATCTTTCCTATCTGCCGCGTAGAATATAGGCCCCAAAACAATATTTGTTGATATTTTTGCCTGTTTGTCTATATGGTATGGTGTTGGGACATTAACACACAGCGCCATCTAGTTCCATGGTAAGCTACGAGGCTTGTGTTATGGATACCAGATAGTTGATACACTACACATATATAACTTTTAAATACATACACATTATAAATATAAACAACCATGACTGGAGTACAAACCTTCGTGCTCATCACACAAATGAAAGCCCCCAGCGGGACTCGAACCCGCGACCGCTGGCACAGCAAGTAGGGTCACTACAAACTGAGCCAATCGTGTCGTCATGTATAAATCTTTTTGCTTTTCAATGCAAATAGTACTATACGGATTTTAATTAAATTTTGTGTATTGATAACTTATTACTCGAGTAAATATTTAGAATATCTTTAACTACAGCAGAGTCTATGAATCCCACGGGAAAACATAATAGCATATCGGTCGGGTGGTCCTTTATTAAAATTTTTTATTATTTATAACACAAAAACTTTTAGTAGCAGAGAAATAATTAACATATTTAACGAGTTCGTGCGATAAAATCTCTCATTTGCGTGGGAAAATACAAAATTTAGTTTGACCGCAAGTCGCTCATCTCTATACCTATACATAGTTTCAAAACAAAATCTAAACCATGCAAATTTGAAAAAGCATTTGCTTATGATACAGTTTGTACTAATAGAATATGGGCGATAAACGAGGAAGGTTTCTGTAAATAATTTGTTAATATTGTGTACAAAATGGCTGAACTAGTGCGGTGTTTTGTCGGAAAAATAACTGTTTTTGTACGCTTACAGGGTTTTTTTTTACCGTCGGGAAATGCATTTACGCATACCACCTGATCCTCCAGTTGGTGATGTGGGCCTCACCGGCTAGAAGAGCCGGTACTACCCACTAAAACCCGATATCCCTTCCCCCCGCCTTAGTGAGACGCCGCAGGATCGCTTGCGCATAACTACTACGGCGCCCCGGCGGCAGGTCTGCCTAAGCGCTAGGCAGACTACCAAACCAATGGGGCTGCTCCACAGTCAACTCTGCTACGTCAGAGAGGTACCCGGAGCAGTAAAATGCAGTAAAATTAAAAATAAACAAGTTATTCAATAAACAAAAATCAACCTAGCAACTAACAAAGATCTAGAACCTACTAAACCAACAAAGATCTGGTACCCTGGGAACCTAAATTTAGACTGCCAGTGACCAGAGACTTCCGAAGAAAAATTACCAGTAAAAATGTTTGCAATGTCAAATCCTAATTCGACTGGGCTGTAGATAAAATCTAAAAAATGGCGCCGCACTGCATTACAATAACGATGTCCCTTATTTTTAAATTGGAAAAAATATAAGGAACGATTCTTCGTACTTGACTCTAACATCTATAAACTATTCGATTGTCAGCCATGTTCTTCACAAAATCAACTAAATATTGATATCACTTACGACACACTTGACATTTCACTCATTCTGAAGTAACGTTTCGCTATCGATAACGAGGGAGGGTAGATAATATGTGTGCCGTAGTTAACATCGGCTTCGTATTTAACATTATTTTTAAAATAAAAAACATAAAGTGAAATGTTTAGTGAAGTGATCAAACACTAAGAAACAGTCGATGTGCAGTTTTTAAGTATAAATAAACTCGATGAAAAACAAACGTAATAGCAAAAAATAAGTGAAACACAAATTATTACAACTCATCACACAACACCATCCAGACGAGATGCTGATAAATACATTATTCTGCCTATCAGTGAAATAAACAAGCCATCTAGCGGATCGCACAAAAAACTAGAAAATATAATCGATTTATCGATTTAGTCAATAGTTTCACGTAGTACCGAAATGGACGAAATTGAAAATATGTTGAAAATGATGCAGGAGAAGATGAGTAGGGAATGCCTGCACGCACTCGAATATCTTTCGCTCACTTACTCTAGTGAGGTACTATATCACTTATTCTTTTCTATTCCGCTCGCCCAACATCGTGAATACTCGGGAATAGTCGGGATAGCTTGCGTATTCAGTTCGACACATCGTTTCAAGAACAAGGAAATGAAATGATAAAATGTGTTTGCAAAATTTGCTTTAATTAATCTTTTTATTATTTACAAGTAAAGAGTGGTAGTAATAAAGAATATAATAATAATACTAGCGACTCATCCTCGCTTCGCTCGGGTTCGTCCCTAGCTTGATTCCCCATAAAAACTGTCATCCTCATTTTCAACCCCCTTAAGGGAGAATTTCCGGGATAAAAGTATGCTATGTCCTTCCCAGGGTCTCAAACTATGTTTTTACCAAATTTCATTTAAATTGGCTTAGTAGATCCAGAGATTACCCCCTACAACGTCACAAACTCACAAACACAAAATTTACCTATTTTATCTTTATAATATTATATTAGTATAGATAAAAAAAGAAAAAAAAAGATATAATGTTTAAAAATATATTATAATATACATAGTAATAAAAAACTCATGTAGAATAGTTATTATTATACTAATAAATAAAACATATTACATGTGTTATTATTATAATATCATGCATGCAATAAAATTTGTTTAAATTTTTTATTTATTTATTTTGTAAATTGGAAAACAGACAGTATATATAAGCATAAAATGCAAAATACATCAGAAATAATACAGTTAGCCAATAAAGTTTCCACTTATACATAAATATAGCAGAGTAAACTTACTAACAATAAAATAAAAACAGATATAAAAAAAAATGTGTAGCTACAAAATAAAAAAAATATACGAATAATATTTATCAGCCTCTATTGTTTTTTTAAGGCCAGTTATAGATTTCTTTAAATTACATCCAATATGTCGAGATGCTATAAAATTATTATAAATGTTACAGACTCTAGTCAGGAAACAATTCTTGGCATATTTGGTTCTACGAGAGGGAACAGAAAAGGTACCTCTGGGTCGGCTGTTAGTTCGAGGGCATTTAAAGAAAATATTTGACAAAAGATAATTACAATCGATATTATACTTTCTTAGATTTACGCGAATATTTGACATCTATACTATAATAAAACAGTAGAGGTCGAATGTCTGTACCTAGCAAAAAAATGCTAAAAACCGAGTCAGGGGGTGTAAGAAGAGAAACAGAACATAACCAGATTTTTTTCAAATTGTTTGTTTCTCTGTCTGTTTGTCTGTTTGTACGGGCTAATCTCCGAATCTATTAGACCGATTTAAATGAAATTTTGCATGGTGGTATCTGATATCCCCGGTCAACATCTTAGATACTTTTCATCCCGGAAACTTAAAGAGTTCTCGTGGGATAGTCAAAAAACTATAGTAACTTATACAGCTTACACAAAAACTACTCATTGGATTTTAATGAAATTTTACAATAATATAGTTCATACCTCATAATAACAAATAGGCTACTTTTTATCCCGGAAAAATGTATGGTTCCCGTGGGATAAATAAATA